CAGGCCTGACAATTTGCTTCTGAATGGCCACAGCCGTGAAGACCCCACGGAGTGGTTTTACTCTGCACACCCACCGAGGCTTCCAGGAGTCAGAATCGACTCTGCTGCGAACAACAAGGAGAACCTGTGTTACAGGGAAGGAAATGAAGGCGCAGGGTTGACTAACCTCAGGGAACAGAACTAATACGTAGCATGGCTATGGAAGTTTGCGAATCTGTTCCTGGAATCATTTAGCAACATCTGTTGCCTCCAGTTGTGACATAATGAGAAAACGTAAGGCTCCCGGCCCTTGCTTATAGATCAATAGGATTATTCAGAAGGTACGCACTTACTGGCAATATAATTCTAAATCCTCTGCTAGTTCCTGTCCAGGCAGCACAGTTTTAATGGCATGAGATTCGTGAGGCACTCAAGACTAGGGTAAATCAGCAAAAGAGAGAAAGAGTTGAGGACATATGGTTTAAACTTTAAACCATTATCACTTTCCATTGTCTTAACAATGTCCATTGTTGATGTCATTAGATGCCATCAAACTGGTTCCTACGCCCAGTGACTGTGTACAAGGGAACAAAGCACTGTCCGGCCGGTGCTGTTTGAGTCCCGTGTTGCAACACTGAACCAACCCAGCTTGCTGAGGATCTTCCTCTTTTTCACCAACGCTCTACTTTATCACACTTGATAACCCACTCCCGGGACAAGGCCCTCTGATAACATGTCCAAAGAACGTGGATTGTGTCTCACCATGCTAACTTCTAGAGAGCAACCTGATTGTATTTATTCCAAGCTAGCTTTGTTCTTCTTGTCGCCATCCGTGGCATATTCAATATTCTTTGCCAATATAATCATTTAAATGCTCAGTTCCTCTTCCGTCTTTATTCATTGCCCACCTTTTGCATAATTATGCAGTGATTTAAAATACTGGATAGCTTAGGTCCAAATTTCCATTACCCAAATCTCCTTCCACTGAGAGTTGATTCCAACTTCTACTGACCCTCTAAGATGGGTTCGAACCACTGACCTGGCAGCCCATCGCTTAACTTACTGTTCTACCAAGGCTCTAGAGTTTTACCTTGAGGCTCTACAATTTCCCATTTTCTTTGTGAAGCATGAAAGTAAGCCTTAACAAAAACAATTGACATTATATTTAACTGAAAAGCAATACTAGAGCATAAAGAATGTGGTGCTCAATGCAACATAACTGGACAAATAGCTGAACAAGTAGCTACAAGGAGTTGGGAGAATGACCCTGGCGTGTCTGGAGATGCCAGCACCACAGGCTGCTAGGAAGCCCCTGCAGAGAAGCAGCCCCTGCGTGATGTTGAATTGGGGATAGGATGACAGATGAAGTGAGTAGATTATTTGCCGATGAAACAGCTCAGCTCTTGTGAACAGCAGTGACACATTGATGGGTCTGCTGTGTTATCTGTTGGACTTCTGTTTACACAGATAATTGTATGTGTGTGTGTGAGAAAGAAGGGGCAAGCGAGATCCGAGAGGAGATGCCTAACTAGTGCTGATTCATAGCACCCATATGAGCCTGAGCATTCCGTGCAAGGAGTTGCTATAATGGGTGTGATGCTTGCATTTTAGCTACTTTACTTACTTGCATATTTTTTAATTAAAAAAATTCTTAAAATTCTGCTGGTCAAAGTGTATCTGGTTTGTCTTCTGTGAAGTATAAGCATGACACTCTCCAGCAATAATGTTTGACACTGTTCCCAGGGAATGCAATTTATGGTCTTTTTCCAGTTCTGCAGAACTGTAAGGTCCACCTCCTCCATATCCATTTATGGGATCTTTTTCTTGTAGCTATGTAGACTCTGAGAAATGTCAGCCCGGAACCTGGGTAGTATTGGCAGGACCAAAGTCCCTGTCCTTCTGGGTCATCATCCTTAGGTCTCTGAAGTTTGAGATCAGAGGTTGGCACTGGAAGACTTTAAATAAAATAGAAAGCAGAATCCAAAGGAGCCAAGACTTTTGTGTGTCAATTCATTACTTACTACATGTGCTAAGGAAGTAGAAGCCTGACCTGAGCTGCAATCTGGGTCAGTTTAGGACAGACTCAGGAACTATTCGAAACAAAGACCAGATTCACAGACTCTGCCGCTTTTCCCACTGGACTTCCAGCTTCACTGCCAGTGCAGAAGCCCTACCTGTTGTGTAAAACACTTGATTACATTTCAATTGAAATCACTTGCACTCCACATTCCAGTTGGGTCAAGGCTGAGTTGGTAAAGCCTTGGGTCTGCAAACGTGTTTGATTTCTAAACCTAAACCAGTTTTCTTTCTGGGAACAAAACTAAAAAGGTCACTCACACTCATAAGATTTCAGGAATAAGCAGGTTTTAAAGTTTTGCAAGCTAAGCCAGATGGAAGGTTTTCAGGCAAGGGAGGCTTCATAGTTGGGTGGAGGAAGGGCACAGGCGGAGCCAAGCTGGAAGCAAATGGAGCCTGAAACATTAGTGTTATTTTTAGTCCTTGGAATTCTAGGCCAGGTCTGGAAAGGTCAATGAAGAAGTTGGGGTAATGTATATTAAAGGTTTATTTAAATTCATGCCAAGTTTTAAGGGACTACAGACAGCATAAGAGGTATCTGAAAAGGACTGTTTCATTTTAACCCCTTGGTTTACCAATAAATCAATAAAACAGAAGGAAGGATACTCACTACCACCCCAGTTAGTGTTTTTTTTGCTATGTTTGGTCCCTTGTACTGTTTCTTCCTTCTTCCATGCATCTTACAGGTTGGAACTATTTCAATATTTTATTCTAGATTTTCTTTTGTTGGAGAAAGGAGAGACGGGGAGGGAGTGAAGAAGGAAGAGAGAGAGAGAGAATAAATGAGAGTAAAAAGAACAATTGGATGGGGACACCAGAAATAATATGGACTCTTCCCCCTTTAAAATATGATTGCGCACACATGCACACACATGCGTGCACACACGTGTGCACATGCCTGTATAATTTTCTATTATGCCTATTGAATTTTGTAAGACAGATTAGAAAAAACACAACGAAGCAAAGAGAGATAGGTATTACTGCCTCTGGATATACTTAACTATGCTCTCTTATACCTCTGATCATTCCTCTAAAGCCAAATAAAGAGCTACTTCTACCTTATGCCACAGCTCTCATAGCATGTCCTCCTGGATTTGACTGTGTGCATGCTTCTCTCCTCACCTGGGCTGTGAGCTCCCTATATAACCAGGATGCCCAGGGTTCTTGGAACATTTGATAATAAAAGATAAGCTGTAGGAAGGATGTGGGAGAAAGACGGGGCTTCCCATTCCCATAGGGAGTGAGAGTCTTGGACACTCGGGAGCAGTAATACCCTGTCTGACAGCATCTCTATGAGTCTGCATGGACTTAATGGCAGTGAGTTTGTTTTGGGGTTGGTAAGAAAGATGTGACTGTTTTATGGAAAATTCATTGTAAATACTTGTTCTCCATGATATTTTATGTGTTTAAGTCTATAATGATGAGTCTCTTTTAAATGGTACAAGAAGTTAGTGGCTAGGAGGAATAAAGGAAATTTGTTTTTAATCAAACTGCCTTATTCATATATCATACTGTGGAAACATAGGGGAAAATGTATTGGCTGTGATCTCAAAGTGATCTAGTCTCAGAAATTAAATAGAAGTAACTAAAACCACTCATCTGTTTTAGCCAAATTTAAAATAATAAATTGTGATGTTACATTTGGTTCTGGTACCCTGCAAAGCAAGATTGTCAATATTAAAATGATCAGAACTCTAAAGTTAATTTAGAATTTTATAGACCCATCAAAACTCTGTCTTAGCCATAGTCTCATATGACATTGGCATAATGTAGTGCACAAAACAATCGTGAACTGTATTTTAGTGAAGCAAGTAGTATCTGAGATTTAATAGCTTGAAAGTGGCCATCGAATACCAGGCTCTGGGTTTCAATTCACCGTGAACAAAGCAGCAAGATGGTAACTAAAATCTCAGATAACAACAAGTCTACATGAGCTACCACTTCATCTATCCAGAAATCAGAAGAATTAGATGCCTGGCCATCACCAATGACTATACTTATATGAGTTATATTAGATGGAGTCAGATAGAATGACAGGGCCAAAGGGGCATACCGTAGAGCAGAACTCAAATTTTTAGGGGAATAAAAAGACAAACCAAAATAGTAGACAGCAGAGGACTCCATGAAACTATCACCTTGGGACACTTTTTAAAACTAGAATGGCTTTGTCCTCAGAGATCATCTTTTAATGAAATAACAGTGCCACACAACTAAAGGACATTGCTATACGATTGATGCTCTATGTTAAAAACAGCAGTACGAGATCAAAAGGTCAACAATGACTCAAAAACAAAGATGAGAAAATAAGTGCGGGAGGAAACTAGAGTACTGGAAATGGAACAAAAAGAACACAGTTAAAGATTGGGCTGACACACTGTGATTAACTAATGTTACTGTGCAGAAATTTGTGTATAGTCAAATGAAACCCGCGCTCCCTGTGTAAATTTTCACCAAAAAGTCAAAACATTTTTTAGTAAGAATTTTTCTCAGAAAGTACATTGATTATTATTCAACTTTATGTGTTGCAATTGATGTTTGTATGTACATGACTGTTTTTACAGTAAAAACTCCAGGACCCAAAACACTTACTTGATTCAGATAATATTGAATGTAAGAAAACTTCAGCATACTAAACTTACTTGGAGGCTCCCCTACAATTGCAGCAAAATTCAAGCCAACCCCCACCCAATTTAACTTAAATCATATTTACATCACCCTCATTTCCTCCAACTTTATGAACCCAAGTAAGAAGAGCCATAGGGGAAATACTTGATCAATATCAGGCCACAGGTTAATCCTGCGCTAAGCAATGAAAGATTTTTGATGCCATGTATTTAAAACTTGTGCACATTATTTCGAATTTCAAAATATGTTTGGGTCTAGAATTGTATACACCGCCATTGTACAACAAGGCCAATAACGCTTTGTCTTGTGCTCCGTTGCAGAACACAACCGATGTGTGGACTCCAATGCAGCATCATGCACCAAGTGCCTGGCGCTGGGTCCGGAATGTGGCTGGTGTGCGCAAGAGGTGTGCTTTCTTTTCTTTTCCTTTCCTCCTCTTACCCTTACCACTGACTTTCCCGCCAGTCCGATTCATTACCCGTAAATTCTGTGCCTTGAAGGTGCTTCAGGAAAAAAACACCCCCAAAATGGTACTACCGAACATCAGGACATTCTTATTTGGTTTGATGGTTGGAAACAGTGCATCTGGGTGAATATAAACTATAACTGCTTTATTAGGAAAATTATGGTAATTTTGAAATGAAGTGCCAAGCATTTTATGTTTTCCATCTGTTCTATAGAGAGAATTGGCAAACACAGATAATAACTTTTGATTGTTCAGTAGGCTTTGGTGTGAAATTCTTACTGCAGCTTGAAGCATTAGGTTACATAGCCAAGTTGGATTATTCTCTCACATTTGCTTATTAAAGAAAAGCTAGCTAATTTATTGGTTCATTTTATTTGAAATACTTGGGACTACATGTTACATGTGGAAATCTGCTTGTCATATGTGGAGAATGGGGTGCCTTTCTTTTGACAAGTGACCTGGTACATGAGATACTGTGTTCACTTAAATTCTGTGGAGTAGAGAATCGGGTTGAAAAAAATGTGTATTATTCAGAATTAGCGTGTTTTCTACCAAGAGAAACAAATGTCAATGACAAACGTTAGCAAAGAGAAAAGAATGCATTCTTTTGTTTTGTCAACAACTAAAGTTATTTGAACTTTCTTTGGTTGGTAAATTTTAGTCAGAATTGCCTGTATATAATTAGTTGCGCTGGAGAACCTACCTTCTGATTTGAGGTTTCTTTTTTTATGAGCTTTCCCATGTGACTACAGTTCCCTTAGGTGAACCTGAGGCTGAGAAGGGACAGCCCTTCAGCGGCCTTTTGCTGGTGTGAAGGGCCCTTTAGGGTGAGCTGAAGAACTGTGCTTCCTGCCGTGACATTTCAGATTTCTCTGGTTACAGATTTCCCGGAGGAAAAAGAAGTCTTGACAAGAGGCAAAGACTAGTGACCGTCAAACTCTCTAACAGACCACCTCACAATAGACACAATAGAAGCAGGGAGGAGCTCAAGAACAGTAACCACCTCTGCAAGTCCCCCCCTCTCTCACCGATAGCCTGCACACTTCCCCGTGATACTCTCGGCTCTGCCAGCAGGAAGCCCGGGTGTCACCCTGTAAGTGGGCAGTACTTTGCCAGAGTCCCAGGAGGCAAGCACTACCATCGAGAGCACAGTGTCAGAGTGTCCGGATTCAACGCCGTCACCCCCCATGAATCGAATGGCCACACTGAGTTTACTGTTCCATCTGAGGCTCTGTTCTCATCAGTGAAAACTTGGGTCTGAAACAGATTTATAGGTTTTCCCCTCTCAGGAATGCATCATGATTTCTTGTTTTCTAGTCACACAGCGGTGGTGCTTCATTTTTAATGTTTGCTGCATCACCACCAAGAAGATCCACAGGGCCCTACAGTTTATGCCAGCTGCCAACTACAGAGGGCAGTATGGAAGAACCGCCAAATGTCTGATGCTAACTCTGTAGAGAGCCCCCTTTCGTGTCTCATTCTAACTGGCATAAAATAAATATGGAGTCCTAGCTCTGGGAGTAGCTGTAACCGTTCTGTCATGGGAGGAGGGAAGGGATTGGGGTGTTCGGGGAATGAGTAAACTAAGGGGACAGGGGATGACTGCATTGCTGAGAAAGCCAGCACACGTCCACTGTCGGTCGGTCCGTCCGACAGGGCCCCAGGAAAACGCTTGGGAATTCACTTGTTTGTCCACAGACCAAAATGCTTTTCTCTTCCGTATTCTCCCATGTGAGCTATACTGGGCGGAGCCCAAGGCAGCTTCAAATCGGTCTCACTGGTTTCTAGCTATACCTTTAGATAACCACTAGGTTACCTAACCACTAGGTTGTCCCTATCCTTAAAATGGACAGGACAGTTGGACCTGCTTCAGAGTGTTGTGAAGTTTACATTGGGAGAATTTGGCACACAAGTAATGCTTAAGAAATAGGAATGTTACTATGCAGAACTATGGGAGACTGGGAAGCAACTTATTCAGGCTTAGCGTACTTTAAGGACATTGTCTGTGTTAAGCCTACATTCCTGGTGTAGAGACTCAGACATGGTCAACATCATTAACCTTAGGAGCTGTCCACTCCCACTGGCTGACCTGACATCTTCAAGAGGAACAATGTAATAGTTAAATTTGAAAATCACCCAGATGCAAATAAGGTCTTATTTCTCAACCCGGAAGGGTGAGATGTACAGTGAGAGAAGGGGTCCTTGTCTCTGCTCATGATTAGAACAGATAAACAGAAACAAAATATTCCTGTGAAAGAAAGGACAGGCGCTGAAGAATTCACTTCTGCTCTGACCTCATCTATTTGCTTCAGGATATGCTAGCATGGTCAGAATTTAGAGAACAACCAAGAAGTGTAACTGTACCAAACAATAATGTGACAAGAATCCACTGCTAACAGGGTATGTTGTGGTTTACTAGTGGTGCTGTAACAAATGTAGCAGAAAGTGGTGGCTTTAGTGAACGTTTATTTTCTCATGTTTTAGGCAGCTAGAAGTCTAAATTCAAGGCACCAGTGCTAGAGAAAATCCTCATCTCAAATCCTCTAATGTTTTGGTGTTCCTTAGAGATACCCAAACTCACTACCGTTGAGCCCAGGCCGACTCACAGCGACCCCTAGTGGCATGGTGGCAACCAGCTGGGCTGCTGACAATAAGGTCAGCAGTTCAAAACCACCAGCCACCCTGGTTAAAGCGTAGAATAACCAAAACCAATGGGTGCTGACTCACAGCGATCTCCTGTGGGTTTTCTCAGACTGTAACTGTTTACGGGAGTAGAAAGCCCAGTCTTCCTCCTGAGGTGGTTTCAAACTGCTGACCATGCAGATCGAAGCCTAAAGCCTAACTGATACACCACCAGGGCTCCCCCAGAGTGTCTGGTAGAAGCCTTATTAGCATAACAAAATAGTCTATTCCAAATGGAATTACATCCACAGGTAGAGGAGTTAGAATTCTAACACATATTTTTAAAATTTCACTGTCATTGAGTCAATTCTGACTTTTAGTGAATTTATGGGACACAATAGAACTTCCCCCTTTGGGTTTCCAAAGCTGTAAACCTTGACAGAAGCAGAAAGCCTGATTTTTCTTCCTTAGAGTAGCTAGCAGGTTTGAACTCCTAACCTGGAGGTTAAGGGTCCACCGCATAACTCACTGCACCAATGGCATATTGGGGATTGGAGTAGAGACTAACTCGATCCATAACAGGGAAGATAAAATATTTTGTTTCTGTACACGTTGCCACTTATAGATACCAGAAAGAGTCAGACATGAGTAGACGGGGGCGGGATCTCATTTATATCCTCAAATGATGATCACATTCGAAGGCTCAGTGACAGCTGGTGAAAAGCCAACCAGAGTGGCTTCAGTCTGGGCTTTTCATTCTCAAGAAGCTTTTCTTGCAGAACGTCGGAGTAGGATTTTGCTGTGTGTTGTAGGAAAGTGAAACATAAGAATTAGAAGAAATTAAAATGACACTAAATACCAAAAATTAAAAGGGTGTGGTTAAAAATTGCTTTCCTTTTATACAAAGTGGAAAAAGCAGGCCACAGTGGGCAGGCGCAGCCTTCCATTCTTGATTCTGATCCACTGTCTTTAATTCCATCTTCAAACCTAATTGTCACATTGGCAATGTTTTTCTTAGTTTTTACAGTGGGTTAAAAAGAGCTCTGCTGATTCAGATATGGCAAAATAATTGAGACTATTTTGCCTATTTCGGCAAAACTATTTGACATTTAAAGGTCAGATGACATAGCTTAATGTATAATTTCATTGAAGTAAGTGCCTCTTCATCTTTCTGAATACTCAAGTAACAATGGTTGGCTTGGAGGAGGATAAAAAAAAGCACACCAGAGCTATTTATACTGTATGGCTGTTATGAGTCACAATTGGTTCCACAGCAGTAAGTTCGCTTTCGGTTCCATTCCATGATTTAATGTCCTGGAGTTTTGACATTTTCCACATATCACTTGAGACATAAGTGGGCAAATAACTATCAGGTCTTATCAATGAACAGTTGCTACCAATTACTTCCAACTCATGGTCGCCTCATGTCGGGTAGAACTGTGCCCGTGGAGGGTCCTCGTAGTTGAATTTCGGCGGGAGGAACAGTTCTCTAGGCCTTTCTTCTCAGTTGCCGCGGGATGGATGCAAACCTTCTGGGCACATTCATCAGTTGCACCATCCACGAACTAGTCAAGCCTTCATTAAGCATCCTCTGTGTTCCACGGACCTGTGGAAGGATGGGATTCCTCCACCGAGCCTGACGTTCTCTGGAGGACCATGACACATACCATAGTAGCTTGTAGACCATCTTTCCCTCCGGAATGCCACTTCAACCTCTCATTGAGTACCGCTAGGTTCTATCTGATCAATTTGAACTTAAGAAATTCAGACTTTCAAAATGGTTAAGTTCCAGCTGAAATCTGCATGTATAGCCAAGAGCAAAGCAAATGGTATTCTTTTCATTTCCATGAAGTCCTTCGTGAATAACACCTGAAAATTTTGATTGGCAAGAAGCTCATGTTCCCTTGTGTGGCTTATATTGATAAAGTTATAAGCGTACTCCACACTCCCAAGTCAAAGGCCAGCACATTTTTTTCATAAAGGGCCATCGAATGAAATGTTAGCGTTGTGGGCCACCTTTGGTGTTTGTCACTTATTTTTTCTGCTTCTTTTAAAAAATTTTATAGCCCTCATAAATTCAGGTGTCAGCCAAATTATAGTAAATAAATAACCAAAAGGCCGTGGGATGCATTTGTCTTCAATCCTGGTTAGCTAACCCCTTGCTCTAATTGACAGAGGAATTAAATTAAAATCCCCATCTGAAGGTTTTTGTGTTGCTTACCACCGTTCTGTCTAATTACTCACCACCCACTGGTGCCAGAGATGCCCCTGTTCAAAATTACTCTTCTGTCCCCTTGATAATCCCTGTTCCCCATGGCCCCACGCTGTCTTTGCTTACTCTCAGATTTAGCCCAGCATCATTACATTCATTTGCTCAGTGATTGAATTCACAATAGTCTGTTGACTTTTTGATGGCAGGGCCTATATCTGCCTTGCCATATTCTGTGTCCTGAGGCCTTCACAAATTATTGGTCTTGAATTACGTAGTTAATCAACATTTGGGGGCTGAATGATCAATTGTTTGGAATTTCAGCTGTCTGCCCCAGCTGAACTAACGGAGGAATAATAAATGGATGCCAGATCAAAAGCCAATGCCACGAAGATTCATGAGCTAATGTGTAAACAAATAGCCCCCAAACGGCGAAGCCAGCATGGTATATAATAAAACATATGTCTACCCTTTTATGCAGTTTCCTTTGTTTGGGAACAAACCTGAATGGTAACAACAAAAATAAAAATACCCATTTTTCCCAACCTGGATAAATTAAATTTTATGCTTTTTTTTTTTTGCTGATCCCAAAATTGTCAAGCAGATACTGGACAACAATCAGGGAGCCACTGTGGAATGATAGTGAAAAATTTAGGTTGAGTTGCAAATTGGAGGGATTTTGAGCGACAATCTTATTTTCTCTGCTTATTACCAGTATCTTACGTAGTTTATTTAATTGTTTACAGGTCCTTCTGTATATCAGGAGTTGGAGGACATTTTTTGGTCTAAAAGAACTCAGCGATCTCCAATTCATTCTCTTATGAATTTTCAGTACTTAATTAGGCACGTGACTTCCAAGGAGTCATGCTCATTCGTATTCCAAACATAACAATCTATAATAAACCAACCAGTTGAGCCCTTTGGGGACTGAGGCTCATGTTTGGAAGCACTGAGAGGTCGATTTTGACTAAATTTCCTTTTGGAACAGGCCTTCCAAAGTCAAATATTTAGAAAGAATTAAGTTGGTATAATTTTACAATGATCTGTTAACAGCACCTACATTATTTAATTTAAATTTCATCCTCAATAATTTATTTTCCTCTTTTAAAACTAAGAGTGAGGAATTAAAGCTTTATTTGAAGTTGCCGGTACCCCTCATGGAAACGTGCAGCCATTTAGAATAGGTCCATAACTTGTGCGCACCTTGGTGGAAGAGGACTTCTTTGTAAAATTTGTTACCCGGTTTTCCGTGGTTATAGTTGAGATGCTGTACCCTAAGAAAGTGAGTGACTTTGTTTCTTTTAACAGGTTTTCATTTCTGGTGGATCAAGGAGTGAACGTTGTGATATTGTTCCGAACTTAATAAGCAAAGGCTGCTCAGTTGACTCAATAGAATACCCATCTGTGCATGTAATGCCAAGTGAAAATGAAATTAATACCCAGGTGACACCAGGAGAAATATCGATCCAGCTTCGTCCAGGTTTGGCAATTTTCAAATAATCCTCTTATAAATCTTCACTCAAAGTTATACTTCATATTGTTTGCCCATACTTCATACTGCACAGGCAGTGTTGTTAGAGCAGAAATCAGTGAGTTTAGAATGAAAAATCAGAATTCTAGTTTGTTCTGTACCACTCACTGTACCACTAGACCCCTGAGTGGCACAAATGGTGAAGTGCTCCACTACACGTTGGAATGTGGGCAGTTCCAATCCCACCCCAGAGGCTTCTCAAGAGACAGGCCTGGAGATATGCTCAGGAGAGATGGCAGACATGTAAACCTTATAGAACAGCTCTGCTCTGCACACATGAGATCACCATGAGTTGGCATAGACTCAACAGTAGCTAACAAGGACAACGTCATGCCACCTATGTGACCTTGGACACTCTCTGCAGACCTCACCACACCACATTATAATTGTGTGTTTACAAGCCCGATTACGCTCCACTGTAATTGTTCCTTCTGCACTTCCAGCTCTTGAGAGAAAGGGCACCAAGATTAATTTCATCCTGTTTCTCTGCTGCCTAGCACAGAGTGCTGGCACAGAGCAAGCACACACACGTTTATTGAGTTGATTAGTTGATTTATTTATTAATTAATAGGAGATATATGTTCAGTGAAGTCCTCAGAGCTTTTGCAATGAATTTTTAAGCACAAACAGAAACTTCCAAATTGTCTGAATTATGTTGGGCACTGCTACTGAGATTAACAGACACCGTTCCTCTTTGACTGCCCCTGTGTTTCCCTTCCATGACCGTGAATTCTACCCACTGGCAGAGGTTTGTCATTTTCTAATTAGGCCAGAGAAGCCCCGTGTACAAAATACATATGGCAGGATAAGTCCAGGGACACGTATGTACCCTTCAATTCATTGCATTTAATTTAAAGCCATGTGGCCATCGGTTCCAAGCCATCATTATTTCATTCTGGGTGGCCTTGACCTATCCTTAAAGTTGTAAGTAACCATTCTTCATAGATACTCCTCCAGTTCCAAAGCTGAGCTATTTCTTCTAAACTCTTTGATTATCAAGAAAAACAAAGTGCATTTCTCTCTTGGCCTTAGGCATGTTCCCAACTTCCAATTAAAACTGCTTCTCACCATCTAAAGCAATTATATATCCCAGTATGCTCCCCTCCCCAAGGGCAAGAGTTGGAAAGAGTTCTACGAAAAGAAAGTAATTTGATTGGTTAAGATTATGGGCCCTGCAATCTCTTATTGTAAAATGTATATATATTTAGTGTAGCTACTGCATACTGAATTTGTATTCTCCTGTTCACTGAATGCTAGCGCACTATGTTCTCTAGACACTGCCCTGAGATTGTCCTACAACTACACACACATTTCTCTTGCATAGACAGATTTTAAAGATGTTTTCCCAACTATCTTTAATGATTTTTAATCTTAATCTTTTCCTAATACATTTATTTTCCTAGTTATAGTCTGTTAGATAAGCATCCCTAGATCTTTTCCCAGAATTGAATCTAAAATTCCCACTTTTAAAAAGCATAATTTCTTTTTCCGTGTTAAAATCACCATTGAGGACCTGCTCCATTGCTCATCCTGAAAATTCTTCAGGGTGTTAGTGATGGGCCATCTCGTCTTGCAGACGAACGATACCAACACTGCTTCTGTGCCAATGAGCTGTCATCAAGTGGATTGCAACTCATGGAGAACCTTATACCTTAGAGAACTGTGCTTTATAGAGTTTTCATTGATTGCTTTTTCAGGAGCACTTCATCAGATCTTTGGTAACAAGTCACATGCACATTGTTTTATGTCATTGATCGCAACCCCTTCAATGTACCATAAGTTGTCCCACTTCCTCCTTGTGTTCCTATCTCCATTGTTCCTTTATTCCTAACCCCTCTGATCTTTGTCCCTGGGTAAATACTGCCCTTTGGATGTCATGTAGTTGATTATTCCAAGGCATGCATCTCTCACTCGTGCAATTGTTCCCCTGTCTAATGTTGGCTGGAAATTCAGCCATGGGAGAGAGTTCAGTTTCACATCTGCCGGGTGACAGAGGACCACAGTTTTGACTGTATCTCACTAGCAAGTCTGGTCTTTAAAACATATACGATATACATATATTTTCAGGTTGGTTCCACATGTATCTCCCACTTTATCCAGAATCTTTTAAGGCGATCTTTTTCAGAGCACTTGGTAGTGGTAGCAGGCCCATGAATCGAGAATCTTTTAGTTAGCAGCCAAGCATGCTTTTTTTTTTTTTTTTTTCCATTAATCAGGGATTCCAATAGCCCTTTGCAATCAGCTTGATACCAGCTTATAGTAACCCTATAGGACAGAATTGGAGCTACCCTAAGGGGTTTCCAGGGCTTTAATCTGTACAGAAGCAGACTGCCACATCTTTTCCTTTTGAGAAGATCATAGATTCAAACTATCAACCTTCTAGTAAATAGCCAAACACTATTAGCCATCAAGACTCTTGTTGGGACTTTTGTAGACATCTACAACTCAATTTTATTCCAACGTTTTCATTCAAATGAGCCTCAGTTTACTTTATTCTTATCTGATAAAAATTCACAATTTTCAATGTGGCATCTGATAAGAATTTATTTATAAAAATACATACACGGACTAAATGTTTCAAGGAATACTACTTGGATTATATTTAAAATCAAATATTTTAAGTGAAATTGAAAATCTGACATTATTTTTCACACAGTATCTCCTAATATGTATGTTTTCTTACTTTAACCTATTTATCATACAGAAAATTTATAACAGAAATAGACTACTGACTAAAGTACATGTTCCCTGAGAATACTGAAAATGAAATCCTTTAGAAGGTAGTGTAGAGAAGGTCATTATCTAGCTGTGCTTTAAAACTAATGAAATCTATTCTAAAACAATTAATATAACCTATACTTCACTAAAGGAGATCTGGTAGCATACTGGGTATGTGAGTCTGGGTAGACTAGAGAAACAAATTCACAAACATGCATGTGTATATAAGGGAGAGGTTTCTATACAAAAGGAATTGAACATGGAGAAAACATCCCAACCCAGTCCAGTCCAAGGCCATAAGTCTGATATTAGCCCATATTTCTGATACCAATCTATAAAGTCCTCTTCAGACTCACGAAACACATGCAATGAAACCAACTGCAGGACGATCACAAGCCAGTGGGTAGAAAGTCGTTGGGTCCAGTGGCATTGTAAGCATCTCAGCGCTGGCAGGGATCACTCTGTGGCTTCTCTGGCTTCCGAGAACAGGTTGTGTCCATGTGGCTTGTCTTCTGCAATGTCTCCCAGGGAGTAGCAGAGAAAGAGAGGTATCTTCCACCTCCAAGCAGGAAGTACCAGATTTCCCAGAATTCTCAGGAGAAGGCCATGCCCACACAGATTCTCATTGGCTATCTCCAGATTTATAGCCTAGACTCCACCCCTATACTTTTAATCCTTAAATTGACACCAGATAGGTCACTACCACAGCCCACCCCTTGTCAATTTAACACTTTCACATAACTCTTTAGCCATATATAATTTTCAAACAATAATAAAATCACACCTGTACCTAAAAGGATAAAACTGAAAAGCATACAATTCAATATGTGCCACACTCATTTAAACATATAACATTCTATAAGTGAACTAAAAAAATCTCCTATGCTAACAATTGCAGTAACACGTACACCTTAATCCTATAATCCTATAAATATATATTCCCCAACCTATGAAAGTTTATAAGCCAACTACTTTATGCCTTTATTCCCCAATATTGGGTATCCAATTTCTATATTTCCCACGTATATCAAGCTAGTGCTCTGAGGAAACAATCATATTCTTTGAAGTGAAGAATCTTCATTCTAGTTGGAACCTGGTGAAATCTGCATCCATAAGCAAAGTCAAATCAGGAGAGGCCATCCATAAAGTCAACAGCTATATGCACCAGTCCATAGGCTCAAAAATCTCTTCATCTGGTCAGGTTCTGATTAATTCAATGTAGCCTTTCTTAACCTCTTAGCCTCACCAGGGTGTCCATTGGTCGCCTTGCCTTAGACCATAGCCCCCTCACAAATTCTCAACAACCCTAGTCCCTTGTGCTAGGTAATGAACTTCAGACAAGGCAACCCACTCTTGTCTTCTCCTCTAGTTCCTGTAAACCAGGTCCATGGATGTTGACAGCCAAACTCATCCCATCTCTTTATTGCTGCATTTCTCCCACTTCCACTCAACAAGTGAATACAGGTGGTCACTTAGCAAGCATTTCAGCCTGACCACAGGCTTCCTTTAACTATCAGTCCTAGAGAGGAGTTTTCTTCATGGTTCCAGAATTTTTCCAGCTTCTGACAAAATCCAGTAAAGTTCAAACTTCAAATCCAAAGAGTTCCTTTTTTCATTTAATTTGTCAATCTTGCCCTTAGTCAGATCTCTTGGAATGCATATATCCTGAGTACTCCAAAGCACTGAATGGGGCTTATCTTTTCAGAGCCTTCTTTCCAGGCTTGGCCCAAACCCATCTAAAGATCAAATTAATGGCTTGAGGCAAGTGTGCTTTCAAGCTCTCTATTTTCATACTTCCCAAATCATTTCTATACACCCTTATATCTACAATAATACATATAAGCAATCAGTATAAACAACATAGAATCAGATACTAAACTCAATTCTTAAAACAGTCAAGTTCAATCCTTATTTAGTTTATCTAAATCCTTATCTAAACTATTTTATTTATACAAAAATATGGGATTAGGTCTCTGAAGGCATCAAAACAGATCCATGCTTTTTGTCAGTCATTTTAACCTTCTGTCAGCCATTTTCCTTAAGCAGCATGGTTTCTGAGACATTCAAAGGGAAATTTATACCCCTGAGTTCAAAATATACATTATTCACCTTCATTTTTGCCATTTCAC